AACAACAACAACAACAGTTTATTTCTACTACTGTAAACAACTAAAAGAATTTACAAGATTGTAATTATAAATAAACAAATAAACAGTACAGTACATACAGTAGTGGGACACCCAAAATAACTAAAAAGCTAAACTAGTTGGGTGACCGTAATGAATTAAAAATGTAAGAGTCAGGAAAAAGCTTAGAAATTCAAGCGTAGTGTATTACAAAACCAAGAACCCATTCGGAGCGAAAATTTGCATGGATGTTAGTTTTCAGCTGCTCTTATACATCATTTAAGTAAAATCTCAGGAAGATCAATAGGTCTTGTAGTTCGAATTTTGGTGACGTCATGTGAAAACCAGCTATACCGCCAAACTGCTGGAGGGGAGGGTTGGGAGAGGCATAACAGCTAGCCAGAGGTGAATTAAAGTGTAGGGTGAGGGAGTGGGGAATTTGCAGAAAACCAACTTTGCACAGAGGCAACAGTGAGTTTCAACGAGGATTGACGATCAAGACACTACCTCTAAAATGTTTCCCGTAAGTTACCTGCCTTATCCAAAACAACCAAAGAAGCAGAGTTTCAATTTGAAGTATGCCTATGTAAGAGCGAGGTTAACTGCTTGAGCTGCGCTTGCTGACCAGCATAGAGTTCTCACCAGATGCTTGAAAACCAACGCAATTTCTGCTGTCAACGCAAATTGAGAATTAAGAACGTCCTTTACTCCAAACTAAACTGACAAAGAAAGAAAAAAATATATACATACCTGGACGGTGAAAAAGGCTTAGGGCTAATACAAAATATCAACGATAGGGAAATTTTTTAAATTTAATTATTTCTCTGGGTTTCTACAAACAGCCCTTGTAGACATCTCAGTAACACCCTACGTTTATATCAAAGGAAATAATGTCAGACAAAGAGGGCGTTTTGGCTGAGTGACCACAAAATTTATTTGCATATCCTGCTGCGATTCTCAAACAATAGCATCGGCAGCCTAGCTTTTTGAAAAAGAAGCTTCTCCCTCATTTTTGTGAGCGAAAATGCAGTTGATCTTTAACCGCTTGTTCTCTATAGCCTCCACGAGTTTCTTGTTTGTTACTGTTGTTCTCGTTTTCTTCTTTTCACGGCAAAAAGTTTTTGTGAACTGAAACTCTTGCATGACAAACGTGGTATACAAACGCCTATTTGTTTCGATGTTTGGTCTAGACAGGAAAGTGGAAGAGCTTTGGTCAAAGGTCGTTTATTTTTGTTCACCAATGAGGAAATTTGTTTGGTCCGTCGCGAAGTAACATGTGCGATAAACAGCATTCAAATCAAGGCCCCTTGTTGCTCGGAAACTTAAAAAACTTCGGGGAAGTCAAAAGTCGCGAACGTCTGCTTAAGAGAGTGCCAAGTATTCTTACAGGCAGTTTTGCATTCAACGGCTACATTACATTCAAAAACATGACTGACTGGTCAAGCGGTTTGTGCGCCTGCTTCGAAAATGTTGGCATCTGTATCAAGACCTATTTCTGCCCGTGTATAGTTGCGGGGAAAATCGGTGAAGCTTTGGGAGAAAATTGCTGCTACCACGGGTTCTGCTCTCTGATGGGCCCCATCGGAATCTACTGTGGCGCCCAAAATCGAGGAAAACTCCGAGATAAATTCCAAATTCCGGTGAGTTTTTCGCTTCCTTGTTCACTAGGTCAACGAAATATTTATGATTAGAGAACGTCTCAGAGAATACGTTTATTCTGCGATGGATGTTTGGATCACAAAATGTTAGCATCGTTCGCGCTCCCCACTTAGTCATCTCATGTTTACTTTCACAATTCCAAGGCGTTATGTTACACGGAAACTCATGCGAGAGTATTTAATAGTGGATTATTTTCGGTGGATTAGAAGAGGAGCAACTAGCGATTTATAGATTTTCCACCACATCGAGCACACCTCCAAATGTGGGATTCTGCGTGCGTAACAACAGACTGAAACAAAGTATCATCTGTATACTTTAGTCAACAAAAATGAAAAACTGAAAATAAAGCATTGAATTGTAGAAGATCGCAGGAGGCTTCGAAAGCTGTCCTATCGCTAGCAGATGAATTAATTAACTCGGCGTAAGTAAACAAAAGCTATTTCTTAAAAACAAACAAAGATTGTCGCGGCATCGAGACCCATTTGTTTTCATGCGATAAGCACACCGAAACCTCGTGAGTAAAATGACACCCATAGCAAAACATTAAAAAAAACATTACGACCACAGAACAAGCTGGGTTAACTGGAGGAAATATATAAAAGAAAATGAACAAAATATTGTTATGATTGTATTCAAGAATTTTTTTGAATTTAATCTTAGTCTATTTCTTTTAATATATGCATTTTTTTTTTCTCGATGGGCCTAAAGTAAATACAACGTAGGTTGCAATAATGAAGTTTTACCAAATATATTTTATGGTTACAAGTAAACATTTAGGGAACCTAATAAAACAACTTGTAACTCGGAGTCAAAAAGAAAATAAAAAGATAATTAATTCTCTTCGGCAGTAAAATTGTACGTGTGTTACCATGGGTTGTCATGGAAATGGAACTACCGTACAGAACTAACACGAATTGTTGTGATAATAATGCGGGAGTAGAGGAAATTTACGTTTTAACAGTCAAAACGAACGTGGGATTTTGCCTTCATTCTCTTGCAGTGCTTTTAACAGAAATAGACAGAATTTTCTCCGCGTTCCTTAGAGCTATAGAAATAGGCGTGAAATTTTGTGAGAACTCGAAAAGATGTACAGCTGGTTTTCCCGCAGTGTTTTTCTCTATTTTTCCAATTGTCTCGGGAAAATATTGGTTATTATTGCGATCGATCAATTCTCGGTAAACATGCTCGCAAAAGGTAAGTATTGATTTACGCTTTTAAGGTCACTTTCGTGAAAGTTAAACTCACATTGTTTTCCAAATTTGAAGGAAACTTATTTATTTTTAACAAAACACTGCTAGATCTGTGCAATGTTGGAAAAAGCAATTCGTTAAAACTAATTTTTTAGTGGTCCACTTTAGCGGTCTATATTGTAGAATAATGATCATTCAGGGAATCAATCAGAATTCCCCTTTTCATCTTGCACAAGTTTGCCATATAACAAAATTCTGTCTTACCAACGGATCATCACTCTGATATACCGCTACATATCATCCTTATGGGCTTGAATAAATTTATGCCTGTCTGACTGAGTGAATGACTGTGACAGACGGAGGGACGGACTGATTGACTGACAGACGGACGGGAGGACGGACGGGCGGCCTGACTCGCTGACTGACTGACTGATAGATGAACAGAAGGACGGACGGACGGACGGAATGACTGACTGACGGACTGACTGACTAATTGACTGAGTCACGACTGACTGACTGACTGACTGACTGACTGACTGACTGACTGACTGACTAACCGACCAACGAAGGAACCAGCGAGCAAAAGACTGGACAAGCGGACGGACGGATTGATGGGGGTCAACAGCTGAACGAATGGGATTTCTTAACTGGACGAATAATGACGACGAACGGACGCACGGACGGGGCTAAAAAAATGAAAGAAATTTACTATATTTATTTGAATTTGTTTGATGGTCTGACCAACAGGGAACGTTTGTTAACGACTGCCTTATGCATTGGTGCTGTCCATTCTGTGCGTACGCTCAGGAGGCCAGGGTAGGTTGATCAGAATCTCTTAGTTATATGAACATTGTATTCCTATCTACGTTTAGGTCACAACGTCCTCTGCCGAGTAAAATTACTTGTTTGGTTCTGCTTGATTCCTGCGTTCAAATGAGTTTACGCTGAAAACTGAAATGCTGAGACGGGAATAGATACCCTCAAAACACCTGTATGCATAAAAAATAGCGGTGTACTTCATAGCCACCTCTGTCAACTTCACGACTATTAACGTAAAGTTCTGAAAGTCAAGGTTCCCCCCCCTTCCCCTACCCCCCCGAAATTGAGAAGCCATGATTTTTTCGCGGTCGTTAAAAATACTTAAAGTAGCCTAAGTATACCCAAACTAACTAATTCTGCGGGAGTTGAACTGTTTTCCTGCGTCAAAAATTTGCACGGCTGATGGTCACGTGAGTGAAAACGGTTGGTTGGATGTTGGACGGTAGAAAAACTGATTTCCTTTTATTGATCACAGGAACTTCAATCCCGTATGCCGGCCGGTAGCTCCATGGCAAGATCATGATTCTGAAGAAATCGAAAGCAGCGCTGTTTCTTTCCAAGAAATCTGCCTTCAACCCTCTTTTTTAGTGTGTGTTTCTAAGCCTGTAATTTTTATTCTTACTTTTTATGATATTATTTTGTTTTAACGTTTTATGCACGACGAATCTTTTTTTTTTTCTTTCAGTTAACATACCGTGTAGCAATAGACGTGGGATATTAAATTTCATAGCTATAATAAACAGATACGCACCCACGTGTGTAAACCAAGTGATCTCATTTGCCTTTCGTATTGCTGTTATACATGTACCCCTATAGTTATGCCTCCATAGTTATGGCTCTTGTCCTTGTTTAATTTACACCTTACTTCCGTGTTTATTACGGTAAAATAATATAAGTGGATCCTTCTCCCTTATAATCTATGCACTACATATCCAAGGGAACAGGTTGTCGGGCCGGAACCAGACAAAAATGAAGTCCGCGGTTTTGTTTTGTTTTTTTTGCTGTTTTTTCCCCAGCTCCTTTTCTTGTCGTCACAATAATTTATTCATACCACGGCGTGCACAATCGAGCTATCCTTTACGCATGAAACTCAAAAAGTACGGGAGAAGCGTTAGAGTTGCCCGGGGAGTAGCCGAGAGCAGCTCCAAATTCTTGAGTGAACTCCAAACTACAGCAAAAGGCATGAATCAGCTAAAAGTATGAAACAGTTCTTTTGCAACATTAACAAGGAAAATAGATTTCTGTCGCCAAGCGAAGTTGTTTGTTCACGCCCAGAGCGCGCATCATTTCATTTTATAAATTAACTGAGCCACTACGCGCGCTCTCACTAGTTGGTAGGTGAGTTAAGACTGTTGTGACATTTTAGATTCACGCCTATTTTTGAGAATTACTTTTTTAAAAGCAATAGAGCACTTTTTCCACGTTTACATAGCCTCATCTAAACACTCGGTGTGTTGGGAGAATTCTCGAAAGTTATGCAAACCCTCGACTACGTCTCGCCGTCCACAACTGTCTCGACTTCTCCCAACCCTCCTCGTGTTTAGATGAGGCTATGTAAATACGAAAAAGTGCATGTTGCTTAAATGATGCTCTCTTATATATACTGAGTTTGATGGCGTTGCTTTGCTAGGATCCTCCATTTACAGTGGAATCCCGGCTTACGGTCACGTTAATAACGTCGCCTCGTTATTACGGCTACCTTTTTTGTCCTGGCGAACGGCCCATACATTTTCTGATAAGAAAACCCCGTTAATGCAGCCACCCCGTTGATACGGCCAAAAACAGCCACATTCTGAAATCCCAACCTGCACCATCCTTTATATTTTCATACCCTGTTTATACGGCCACTCAAACCAGTTGTGTTCAACTGTCCATTGTTAACACTGCATGTACTGATTGAAGTTTCATTAAAAAAAAAAAAAAAACCCTATATTTACCTGCATTCCGATGCTTATTAAAGAAAAGTTGTTCAGAGGTGCAATTAAGATGTATCTGTTAAGAAGTCACTCCATTTAGGCCAGTCATGAAATTTAACTCTACCCCATTACCCTCGGACGTACAAGCTAACTCATACCCCAACCGTGGTACATGGGGGGGGGGATTGGAGCCTCCCGCCCTTGGGGTTTCGTTCTGTTACGGCACAGTGAAATAAATTTACATTGTTGAGATAGCCCTGAGCATGCTCTACAAAATGATACCATATTTGTTGCTTGTGACGTCATATAGCGTTAAATGACGTCATTTGACCCGCCATTTTGGATCCGCCATCTTGGATTTTACTCTTTTCTTAGAAAGTCAGGAAAGAACGAAAATCAATACAAAATCGAGCCGGAATGCTTACGAAATGTACAAGTCACTAAATTTCTGGAATTTGATGAAGAAAACTGGAAAATACAGAATTATGCCAAAAATGTTGATTTTTGGCACCTACAGGAAATATGCGGTTGCCATGGACACGTCAAAAATGATGGACACACAATTGACATATCAAAAATTTCCGCGAAGGATGAATAAACAACTACTGAAAGTTTCTGCCCCTTAGAAAAATCGTCCTTTTAGAACTTTAAAATCCCCACCCACCAACCCCCGCCCCCCTTCCCCCCACATTGTACGTCCCAGGGTTACGACCAAATTTCTATGGCTCGTTGGTGGCTACACTGTAGTATTTTTCAAAAAAATATAATAACAAGAGTCGAAAGCTTTGGAATGATTCGTTTGAAAATCGCTCGCACAACAGACGTAACAGCTCGACTGTCTTGGTGCTGATGTACACGTACCTAGAAAACATAAAGATCGGGGTCGATACATGTCGATTTTAGCAAATAGCATTTCTGAATTTGGTATCCCGAGTCTACTGACCTTTCCACGTAAGACTTGGCAGTGTAATAAAGTACAGTTCATGACCGAAGATATGCTTCTGTTTAAGATTTGCAATAGTGCGGCCGTCTCAAAGTTGCCTTTTGCTTTAGGCAATTTTATTTTGAAATCAGATCAAGAAGATAATTAAGGTGAATAGGGAAATCAATTCTTTTCAGTGCTAGATGTATACTAAAAGAAGTTTATTGAAACATACAGCATTGCTCCCTTCAATCAAAGCAGTCCCGTGTGGGCTAAAACCTCGT